CGCAATCTACAGGCTTGTAAGGTCGTTGACCGTAGGTATTTTAGAGGTCCTGTCCCGTGTCAATAAAGCCGTTTTCGAACCTCTGACACTTTTTCATACAAAATTAATCCGATGAAGCACTGAACCATCCTTAAACCCTACGAAAACCATGCGGTTTAATTTTTTTTTATTGCGATTTATTACGAAATTACGGCGTCTCAACAAAGCTTGAAAAAACCTTCAAAAACCTTCTGCTTTGATCCGCACTTGCCCTCCAAAACCGATAGCAGGCCGATATTCCCGTTCCATTTAGACCCAATTCCGAAGATCAGCCCCCACACTTGACTATTATACCGTAACAACCATAGATACCGTAACCCGAAACGCCCATAGGTCGGCACCAACTCACGGTGCTCAAGTTCCCGGAAGGCGCCGCAAAAAGTCCAGGAAGCCGCATTTCAGTTTCGCGCTCAGCATACAACATGGCAGTTGTGGATCGTAGTGGGTTTGCTGGAAATGTGACAGGCATGTGGTGGGAAGCCAAAAGTTGAATAGGTGGCTAGGCTTATGCTTAGGCTTAGGCTTAGGCTTAGGCCCAGGCTTTTGTTGCTTAGCTTAGGCTTCGGCTTCGGCTTAGGTTTCGGCATAGACTAAGGGGTAGGTTTATTCTTGGGCTAGGCTTGGACATAGCTTACATGTAGAGGTTGTCAGGTCACAAGCTCCAAACCGGCTAAAAATTGGTGTAAAAATCAAATAAAATACGGGGAACGCGATGCGATAAAAATTATCTGCTAATGGGCACTTTTGTTTAATAAACTTTTAATTTTAAGTAAGAAAAATGAAGGTAAAATGGACTTTCAGCGGATTAATCGGGCTGTCGGCCTCGGAATAAATGTTTCGATCGAATTGCCACGGAAAGTACGACACTAGGTACCTTCCCACACCCGGAAAAAAAAATTATTTGAAAAAATTTTTCCACGCAAAATTTTGACGACCGATCAGACGGTCGCCTAGCTTTGGCCACTAGGTGGGTTAGCAGCTGCTTAAAATAGTTAGTTCTGACCCCAGGTGTTTAAAATCCGAGCCCAAAGATTCCAGATTCCGATAATGACTGCCTCTTTACAATACCTGTACAAAAAGTAATCTGTATTAACTATCCTGTCGATTTTTATGGAGTCGGAATAGGTAGGTAGGCCCCTTTTTGCAAAAACTTCCAAAATTTTGTAATTTATTTTTTGTCGAGACGTCCGCTACTGATTAATAGGACCGAAAAACATTATAAAAACTATTCTAGACGCGCTCCCTACAAAATAAAAGCAGAAACGGCAAAAGGCAAAAAAAAAGGCGGAACCGAACCCATGACCTTTGGCCTACTATTCCCCGCACCCTACCCCTACACCACCCGGTCGACGGACAGGGCCCCTTGGGGAGGCTTCAAGAGCTCGCGCCTGCGCGCCCCGGTTCTGGCCAGGCTCGCTGCGATTCTAGGTTAGTTTTCCATACAAAATCTTAAAATGAAAAGTTTATTAAACAAAAGTGCCCATTAGCAGATAATTTTTATCGCATCGTGTTCCCCGTATTTTATTCGATTTTTCCACCAATTTTCAGCCGGTTTGCAACTTGTGACCTGACAACCTCTACATGTTAGGCATAGATTTGACTTAGCCATAGCCTTGGCGTAGCTTCAGCGTACACTTAGACATGGGTTTCGGGATAGGCTTCGGGATAGAGATCGGCTAAGGCATGGGCTTAGCTTAGGTCTAGCCTAGGCGTAGGCTTGGTTTAGCTTCAGATAACATGTGTATGGCTTAGCTTTATGCTTTGGTCTAGCCCTTGCATAGCTCTAAGCAGCAATCCAGAACCCACTTTTTCCCTAAGTTCGGCAACATCCCCCAGTCGGGCGCCTTTTTGAAGATCGCTCCCCGGGGGCTCCCTAACGTGGCTACCCAATCCCGCACAATTTTGATCCACGTGTGGTACACGCCAAGGCGTGTTTTTTGACGTCGACAGTCGCTTCCCCGCGGCACATTTTCGATTTTTCGCGCGCCTTCCACCCATGGGGCAGCCGGCTGTAATAAATCAGCCAACACAAAAATATCTGGAACAAAATCTCGGGGATGTGGGAATGTTTTTTGGGGGTTGTGAAACGGTAGGTCTGGCGCTTGGCGGGGAGAACAGTCCGGAATCGCATGGGGAAAGGAAAGATCAGACTTGAATTTGGGTATTAGCTAGGAGGTTCAGCCTTGACAATTCCGTCAGACTACGTGAAAATACAAAAAGGATCCAAAGCTTAGGCCTAAGCCGAGGCCTAACATTAAACTTAAGCCGAAGCCTAAGCTTAAGTAGGCATCTATCGACCGGCAAATGTCCGATTTTCACAGTGACGTCTGCCCTTTAATTGACGGAAATTTGAAAACTTCTCAGTGCCTTCAAATGACTCATTTTTTCGTTGTTTTTGACAAAAAAAAATCGTTCATTGCCCCTCCGCACCGCCAAAATGTCAGCAGATGAACAATTGCTCCTCGAATTCCAGACAAAATGACCTGTGGGTAGGGTTTCGCAAACCTGACTTGGAGCCTTCCGTTAATGAACCCGAAAAGCGGCTTAACGGGCAACGTTTCAGAATGTACGCCCGCTTTTCCGACATCGACAGGGCGCTTCCGGGTTTGCAATCGGATGCGTTTCAAAAGCAGGTAGCGACATCTAAACAGGCTTAAGCCAAGCCTAAGCCAAACCTAAGCCAGGTCTACGCCAGGTCTACGCCAGCCTCTGTCAAATCGGACCTAACTGAAAAACATTCAGCTCAAGGAAATAGCCCGTGTCGCTCGAATCCTGCGGAACATGACCTGCGTCGGAGATTTGGATAACGAATACTGTAATTTGAAAAATTGCCACGATTTTCCGACATTTATAGATCCCCAGATCGATAGTTGCCTTCGCGAGAACCCTAGCTCGGATGCCGCATCTGGAATTCAAGACACAAAAAGGAATGACTGTATGGGGAACCCAGACAAAACACCCGCTTCATAAAGGCAATTTCGAGGCCAAACTCTCAGCCATTTGATTGAAATCATGGTTTCAAAGTTGCTATTTGTTGCGGTTTTCGCGTTCTCGGCTTATGGTAAGGTTTTTGTGGCAAAAATAGGACAGATTTGTTCCTTAAGCATTTCCCGATGTCTTCTCGGCGCATACTATTGGTGAAAGCGGGCCCTGCGGGTATGGTTTCTTCTAGTAATCCTTGCTAGTTTACTTTAATTGCATAAATTGACATTTTTTGATTTGCTGGTGCTCCAAACCAAAAAAATTATTAACTTTAGAAATCTGGCCGGTTTGACGAATTCTGAAGACAAAGATGTGGCCCGTGTGGCTGGGATTTTAGTGAAAATGGCCTGTGACGGGAATTTTCAGCTGCAGCATTGTAAATTTTTTACAAAAAATGAACGTCAAAATTTCTACTGTAGATGCTGAAATCGACAAATGTCTGGCCGAAGAGGGCAACGATCAAATGAAGGGGTGTTCTGCCATGGCGAACATGACGATTTGCGAGTAAGTGACGGTTAAAAAGCGTGCCGAGGAAGAGAGAGAGAGAGAGAGAGAGAGAGGGGGAGAGCGAGGGAGAGAAGGAGAGAGAGAGGGAAATGAAAGAAATTTTTAGCGAAGGCATCGAGCGTTTCTCGTGCGCCATCACAAACTCTGCCAAAACTTGCGGTACCGCTGAAGAGGATGTAGGATATATGGCCCGCACTATGCAGCTAGGGGTATGGTAATTGGCCTTATTACGTACGAAAATTGCTAAAAGCATTGAATTTTCCGTTTAGTTGCTGCTTCTCGGAAAGGATGAGCTGCCAACGGAACTGAAAGACTGCTTCGGCGCCCTTATGAAAATGTTTGAGGCCAAAGGAGCCCAATAAAATTTTTAGCTGTTTTTTCATTAAAGAAATTGCTTAGCCACCTTTGACGTTGCCACACACTGATAAAATTGCAAATACAAAGGACGTAGCTTCTTTTGCATGGTCTTTCAAAGCACTTTGATACGGCAAATTTATTTCAATTAATATCAAGCGCATCCAGCATCGCCAAAAATTCCTCCTTGCAAGGTTTTACAGCTTCCGGGACATCGTCAATGTCGACAAGCCACTAAAATTTGATCGTCAGGTGGAAATCGGTGACTTAAAATTACCCTAAGGTAGACAAGGCGAGCGGCAAATGCCTCGTCTTTTTCACCGTCGCCGCACTTTTTGGTATCTTTCTTTATGCGCAGCTTGAAGGCGTTGCCGATCTGGCTTAGGATCTGGGTTCCATCAGCATTTTCAAGTTCTCGCTCTCTTGCTCACTCGATTTCCCTCTAGACCACCCAGACTCACTCGCAAGTCCCAGCTGCACGAGGCCACGGCTTTCGCCCTTCACCCAGCTCCAACCAGCAGGCCAAAAACTGTTGGTCTGGAATTTGGAGCGGAAGCATTGTGCTCAAATTTGGCGACCAAACATTTTGGTATGCTGTTCCCCACGTCGTCACACACGCGCTGTTGCAAAATCTCGAAGGCACGAGCCTTCCGCTCATCCTCATCTTTCTCGAGGGCTTGGGAAAAGCGTCTCAAGGTAGATGAGTTCATTTGGTCGCTTTAAAGACGGGATGGATGATGATAACTTACTTGCAAATGTCTCCAAGGCTCTCTATCCAACGACCATCTCTACTACCGGCTGAAAAACAATTGTTTTCGCAGTGTTCGAACCTATCGTAGACAGCCACAATTAAAAAAGCCCAAAATAAAAATGGAAAATACATTTGGGCGCAGAACTAAAATTTCAAATGGATGCTGAGAGCCGCTAATGGTATTTTGACTGTTTTCCCATGAAGCATTTGATTAAATAGTTGAAGCAGCATTAACTTCACATAGGCTCTCTCGCTCTCTCTCGCGCTCTCTCTCTCTCTCCATCTCTTTCTGATGTGGTTGACGCCCGTCACAACACTCTCCATGCTCTCGTGCCCCCCAGCCCCTCCTTTATACAATTTCCGATCGATGATTTTTCGTGTGCTATCTAAGTACTGGTACATCCCGGTATTACTCTGCCTCGGACATTGTGAGTCCAATCCCCTGCTCTGATCCCAAGATTTCCCAGATCTTTCTCGTTACGGACTCCAGAAGCAGACAGAGGAGAAGATCGGGATCTGCCAGTTTGTTAAGATATAGCTAGACACCAAACAGATATTTGGCGTCTTTCAGGCAGTTTGCCAAAATCATTGAAGAGGACGAAAACGCGGCCAAGGTGCGGGTTGTCGAGGTTTTGCAATCACGGGCCTGTTTTGCCAATGGCGTCGCCGTAAGCTACTGTAGGTAACTTTCTGGCAAATATTTCATGCTATGCAAACCAGGTCCCTACAGAAAAGTCATAAATTAAAATTGCTATGTTATAAAAGCACTAAAATTTAGATCAGCACCTTTTTGACTGCTGGTCAGCGTTGAACAAACAGCGAAAAGCCTGGCCCCGTGCCAGCGGGACCTGCGAGTGAGATTACCCTATATTTAAGGTACGATTACTGTAATTATTTAGAGAAATTACCCGGGACTACCGTTTTCGATTCGACAGAGACTCCGAGCGATGCGGTGATCTGGGATTTTTGGCCCGATTGACGCAACTTGCGTTCTTCGAGAAAGTCATCGATGCCTGGGGAGCCCCATCAGCCGTTCGAAGCTGTCAGGGACAGATCTTTGAGCTGATTGAGGCGCTTGACAACGGTTCTGTGATTGATGGCAATTCCAAATAAATTAAAACAAATAAAGAACCTCGATGTTGCTTGAGAGAGAGAGAGAGATAGAGAGATAGAGAGAGAGAGAGAGAGAGAGAGGAGAGAGAGAGAAAACGAGCGTGATAGAGAGAGGGGGTAGAGAGAGGGATTGCGGTGTTTGTTCTGGTTCAAAAAACAAGCAAAAAAGTTTATTATAACGGACAGCTTGTCCTCTGACCATTTTGTGCCCTTTGAAGCCCCAAAATCAGCGCCGCCATAATTGGCCGCGGGCCGAAAATACCCGCAATATAGCCCAGGCTGGACAGGAGTCGCCTCAGCATTAGTATCGATTCAATTGCTATGGAGTGGACGGTAGCCTTTGCCGTCATCTTCATAACTTCAGCATTGTTCGGTAAGTGCGTTTCAAATTTTACAAATCCTATACCGTTTATTATCACACATTCGCTGGCGGCTCTGCTAATATCTTGGAACAGGGGAGTTGCGAGTAAGTTGCTTAAAGTTAAATGATTCAGAACATTTTGTTTAAACTTCGAAATTCCATATAAAAAACTCAATCCATCGAAATTCGAAGAATCGAAGTTTCTTACTATTGAAATTTCATACTGCCGAAATTCCAAATGTCGAAATTTCATAATCTAGAAATTTATTGTTCTACTGATTCGTCGATGGATTTCTGTAAAATTTCGACACTTATTTTTGGACAAGATAAATCTCGACATTCTGACGCCAAATCTTCAGAAAATGGCTTTATCAAACTTTTTATTTGCGAATTGAACAAAATTGTTATAAGGAACCTTTATTTTCGAGACCTTATATATCTAATGATTTCCAGAAACTTCAACAACCTCATCGAGACCGACGAAAATGCCGACAAAGTCCGGGTTGTCGAGATTCTGCGGAAACACGCTTGTGAAAATGACGAGATAATTATACCAAAATGTGGGGGCTTTGTGAAACTGGCAGACCGAGACTCTGAATTTTATGAATCTATCACCAACTCCTGCAAAATTCAGATAAAAAACTTTATGATTGCTGGGCGGCGTTGGAGGAAAAGCGGAAGCCTTGGCGGCGCGCTAGTGGAACTTGCGAGTAAGTGCAATATATCTTGCATCAAGAAAATTAGATGTTTACACATTAATGACACTTCCAGTGAAATAAACGCCGCCTACAAATCCCAAATCCAAAAAGACGCCAAAAAATGCGGTGCCGGGGATGTCGATGAGGGATTTGTGGCGCGAACAACACAACTAATGGTAGTTTAAATTTCGTTTAGTTTTGATTTTTGTATTTTTTAGTTGTTTACGAAAGGCATCGACAACCGAGGGACGCCAGAGGCTGTTCGGAATTGTCAACAGCAAATTATGGCATTTCTGGATGAAATTGGGGCAAAATGAAATAAATCTTGCGACGCCTTTGAAAAGAACAACACAGTAAAAGTAAAAGAGTGAGATAGAGACATAAGCAGATAGACATTTTTTATTTTATAACACCTGGAAGGCTTGCATAAATTTTTTAGAAAGAGAGAGAGACAGAGGCAGAGAGAGGACGAAAGCGAGAGGGAGCGCGAGAGGGAGAGAGAGTGAGCGAGATACTTAGAATTGGTTTCATCTATTATTTTCAGTGTGTCGGAAAAACCCAAAAATTTCTAAGGAGTTCTGAATCACCTTATCGGCTGATTCACTCATCCATTTTCAGAAAAATTACCAAAACCAAGAAATTCTATAGACCTTACATATCTGTGAATAGACGAGAAAATCTTAAGAAATTTTGGGACATCTATAAAATTGAAACTTTCTATAGCGAGTTATCATACGCGAATATGGCCCGGAAATTCGTCGCTCTCTTTCTCGCCTTGCTAGCTGGTTACGGTAGGTTTCAACTGTAGAATGCCAAAGACACTAAATATGTAGATATTTCTCGGAACCGTATTGAAACAAAAAACGAATTTTTCAGGATATTGATAAAAATTTTTTTTAGTGGCCGCCGATCAAAGATGCCGGAAAGATTTTGACATGTGCTAGTGGGTTGTTTATTTAATTTTTAGAGCTTTTTTCGGGAGTTAGTAGTATTATTAGTTTTAATATTAAAGATTTCAAAATCTTAAAATTTTAGCCGTCTTCAATGCATCGTCGATAGCTATCAGGACTACACGGAATTGCCGCGAATCGCCAAGAAGCTGCTGGAAGTCAGCTGCTATACGCCGGGCGGCATTCAACACTGTAATTTTTACAGGGATGCCCAACCTTTTCGGGGCTCAAAAAGCAAAAACCATGCCGCGGGTGGGGTCGAACCCGGGACCCACGTTTTGTAGGCCTAGATGCTATCCATTCGGCCATAGTGGCAAGCGATTGGGTGGGATGGGAACGCCACAAGAGGGAAAAGGGTCCGACTTCTGTGCGGCTTTAGGGCCCATTGTTGCACAAAATTCGCGCGTCCTTTGCAGGGACGTAGCGTAATACCGGCCCCGGGGGCCCGGGCCCCCCCCCTTCCCCGAAATCGGCCGGGGCCCGAAAATTTCATAAGGGGGGACCCTTATGATTTTTATTTTCTCAAAAATTTTGCTGCCTGCGGCGCTATTTTTACAGGTTTTTACCGCTATTTGTAGAGCTATGTAGCCTTTTTCCAAAATTTTTCGCCTGCGGCGCTGTTTTCTCGTTAATTTTTTGAGTTTTCGGAAAAAAATTTTTGGGGGCCCCCCCGAAATTTTTTTCTGGCTACGCCCCTGGTCCTTTGTACTGCCCCGGAATACATAACTATATATTTGCCGGCGAAACATTGGGTATCCCTTTAAAGATTACCCCAGGTTTATAAGCTTTCATTTCAATATCACGAAAAAAAATATTTTTAGACACCCCAATTTGGGACGCTTTGGCACAGACATCCGACCAGGACTTTCGGAGATGCGACGGGGAGTGGCCGAAAAATTCAACGGATTGCGGGTGGGCGTTTTTAGGAAAATTTTGTACTGTAGTGTAACGTAAAAATTACATTTTTTGGGTAGAGTGCTGCGGGAAATATTAATTTAAAAAATGGTTAAGATTCAAAAAATCCGTCAAAAAATTCTTTTTTCGATGCAAAATGATCACCAGGCTTTGGCAAGTCGCTGGCACCCGTTTTATCTATAGCAATCGCGCTGAAAACTATATTAAAATATGTGCAAGTGCAAATAGACTGTAGTATTCATTCCAGTCAACTCGTCGAAACGTTCAAGTGCGGTGCGACGGCCGTCGCCAAGAAGGTCGGCGGCTGCAACGTAGCCGATTTGCCGTACGTCGTCCGCTATAGCCAATTGGAGGTATGGAGAATGGTTTTATTAAAGGGCCCTATACAGTAACCATGAACGCTGCCGTAATCTTCATCATTTCTTACCTTTGGCTTTTTCAGTTTGCAGCCAACCTGGGCAACCGGACCGTCGATTCGATCGAATATCCGTGCTTCAAAGTCATCTGGGATGCGATGGAACAGATTGCCGCTAAAATATAATAATTTTTCAGCGTTTTTGTTAAGAACCTTCTAAAAGGCTACAAATAAAAGGTTGCGAGCCATTTCTACTGTTCTGAAGCTGAAAATAAACATTTTCCGCATTAGACGTTTCTCTTGTACTCTCTCTCTCTCTCTCTCTCTCTCTCTCTCTCTCTCTCTCTCTCTCTCTCTGTTTCTCTCTGTCTCTGTCTCTGTCTCTCTCTCTCTCTCTCTCTCTCTCTCTCTCTCTGTCTCTCTCTCTCTGTCTCTCTCTCAGGAAAGGCAGTAGCCAAACAAGGAACGATTTTGTAGTTTTTTTTGTTTTTTGTAGTTTGAACACGGGGATTTAGGTAAAGAGAAGAAAAATATGTTATTCATTTAAACATCAACACAAAATTGGTTAGTGGTGGAGTTCTTCGTGCATCTCAAAGAGCTGCTCACGGCACCCCTCAATTGGTGCCGGCATTTCCGCTTCGTAGCTCTAGACAAAAATTATAGTGGGTCGAAATTTTCTACGTAAACTAGCGCTCAAAACCCACTGCGTAGTGGTCGCGGAGAGCGACATAGATGAGGTCGTCGGCAGTGCCGCAAGCCGATGCGGCCGTCTCGAGAAGGCACTTTGTGACCGCGATCACTTTCCTGAAGGCGCTCAGGTTTGGGGTTGGCTTTAAATTGATTTTGGTTAAATTTAAATCATTCAACTGAATGGTTTAATTAATAAATCAATTAGGCCAGGCCGCCGGGGATCTGTCAAATCTTGAAAATCTGAAGCTCGTTTTTCACAATCCCGAATTCTCATACTTTCCAAATTTTCAAATTTCGAGTCACTTGAATTTCGACTTTCTGAACCCAGGCATTTGCATACACCTAACACCAGGCCTAAGCCTAAGCCTCACCTGCAAAGGTCGGTTTCTCCAGCGGTCCCGTGCACGCAGCTCGCTGCCACAGCCGTGTCGGCCATTTTGGGCCGCAGGCATCTGTTCAATTCTTCATCTGAATTTTTAGCTAAGGGTTTCTCCATCGGAATTTTTACCATCGGCATTTTGCAAAAGAATCCGTACAAGCTCAATTCCATTTCAACGACTTACATTTCGGCTTTGTTGTCCCGTCTTCCTCGCAAGCCATCTTGGCGAGACGCGCGGCCATTTCGGTGAATTTTTGGTCTTTGCCAGAAGCAGCTGCGTCGTGGTATGCCCTAAAAGTCGAATTTTCTTGTCATCTTCCATCGCTACTCTGAGATGGCAAACGATTGCGAGACGGGACCAAGTCTATTTTTTGTAGGATTTTGAGCTGATTTCGGATCCGGTTTTAAATTTCTGGAATGGGCTATTTACGAAACTACATTTTTTGACGCAAACTACCCAAAATTCGGATTGTTAGTTTTTAAATATGGCCATTCCGGAAGATCCAAAAGCGGGTGCTTGATCAGCACTGGGGTGTTATTCCAGAAATACGGTATTTGCCGGAGGTATTTGGTCAATAAAGGCGTTACTGTATTTCGAGGTACCGTACTCGCAAGAATCCCCAGCGACACCTGCTACCGAAGCAACATTGAGCCAAGATGGAACGGCTAAAAAATTGGATTAAGAGCAGAAAGTGCCGCCAAGTCACCAACAACGGCACCCAGCAAAAGAGCGAGAATTACGGGAGACGGCTTCATCATCGAACGAGTGAGGTTTCCCCCTGTCGCACATCTTTTATGCCCTGCATAGGGCGGTTTTGTCTATGCGGGGTGAGTCAAGCGTCTTCCAAGACACCCTTCAAAATCCAATTAGACCACTTTGGGTCGTCGTC